GAAACCCTAGCAGCCCTCAGCTATATAAGGAACCCCTAGGCTTGGGATTTTCGGCCAATGCTTGCTAATAAGAAACCCTAGCTGAAAATCTAAGAGCCTTCCCTCCTCTCTCCTCTCATCCTTTTGCTAGTGGTGTTTGTAAGCCATTAGAGGTGCAACATTTGAGGTACTAAGCTTTCAGAAGTCAATGATCTACATAACAAGTTAAGGTAATATATCAAATACCCTTTTGTTATATGATTTTTCGAAATTGTATGCTAGATCTAGGGTATATTGCTTTGGTATTCAATTACATGTTCAACTAGTGAAAAACTTAGATCTAAAGCAATTAGGGTTGCATTAACACATAGTTATGCTCAAAACCCTTCAGTGGTATTAGAGCCTAGGATGTTTTTCAGTTGTATTTGATGCTTCTGTGAATTGTCCAAAGGAGGATGGAACAGATCCGTCGCTCTGTTCATCAGACTCGACGAGTTCCTCATGGGACTCGACGAGTTGAGCCTACTCAACGAGTTCATTGCAATAACTCGACGAGTCGGGCTGTCAGATCCCTGATTTTTCGATTTCCATATCTTGGTTTGATTAGGGTTATTACCAAAATTCGTTTTTAATGCCTAAAATTGAATTTTCTGGAAAGATATATGTATATCCTTATCAAATTAAGAGATTTGGTCAAATTTTAAGATAATGAAAAAAATTATTTGATTAATTTAGTTATTTAAAAATTTGATCTTGTATTTTTTGAAAAGTTTCAATAATACCCCGTTGGTTTAAGAATTTAAAATTTAATTAAAAGTTTAATTTTGAAATCTTAAATTCTAGAACCCTAGTATTTTAAAAGTTTAAAATACACCTTTATACTATTATAAAATTAGAAGTTTAATTTATATATATATATATATATATATATATATATATTATTATATATATATATATATATATAAGAAAAGTCAGTCTTACCGTTAGTAGGCCTCATTCACGAAGCTTGTCTATAAGGGGTGTTTAAGGAAGCGACCTATAAAATGACAGCCATTGGGTATCCACTCTTACCCACCGCACTCTTGACTAGTGGAGGGTCGTTAGCCGAACGGGTAGGATAAGACATTAAATCTTCATTAATAAGTATAATGATAAATATAAAGTAACTAAATGTTTTTATAAAATTCTCAATCTTAGTTACTTTAGGAAAATGTGAATTTGATGTTAATCCATGAAATTGCACATTGCACTTTGGCAAGTTGTTAGTGGAGCGTGTGTGGTTACCCGGTACACTAACTTGGACTAACAAAGGGTGACAATGGGTAACTCGTAAATTATCACTGATCAATGGAGCGTGTATGGTTAACCGACACATTGATTAGGTGGTAAAAAACAACGAGAGTACCAAGCTAATTTTCATGGTTATTCACACCTTATTTCTGATCCTCGGTATCCCAGTCACAAATTTGAAGGGCATAATCGAGATTAAACATGCCACTAAATAGTTCAATGAATCTCAAAAGATCTAGGAATTTCATTCAAAACCTAATTCATTTTAAAATTTCGTTTTCATGGTGGAATTGGTAAATCGTCATTTACCTATCTTCAAATAATTTACAATTGGATTACGGCATCCCTTTTCTGAATTGTGAATTATTGTGTCGGGTCCTAGCCTTAATATTTCATTTGGGTGTTATATTAAGGATTTCCTATCTAATCAAAACTTGTTCTTCTTTTTCAGATGCCTGACTCAAACTCCAACAACAACAACTCCTCGAACTCCTTCTCGTTCTTGAACATTTGTTCAAGGGTACTCAGTTGGAGTTTTTGGACCAAAGGGTATTTCGGTAATTTATCAACTCGGACCTTTGTGGAAAGTGGATCTTAGTTCGGAATATTTATGGTAGGCAGGAATTGATAACAGTGTTGAGCATCTCGATACCTTTCTATGGATATATGAATGGTTGGAATCGGAGTTGTATCGAGTAAGTTATAGCCTTCGGAAGAATTAGGGTTTTGGGAAAAGCCCTAGTACGCAGGGCGTACCAAAGTGGTACGCAGGGGGTACCAAAGAGAAGGAACTACGCGGGGCGTAGCTGGAGGAACGTGTAGCGTATATGCGAGGATTGGATCGGGGTGCACGGCCTCGTACGCGGGGGGTACGAGAAGGTACGCTGGACGTACGAGGGTCAGGTTGAAAACCCTAATTCAAGGGTTGTACCCTATATAAGCATAATGTTAGGCCTCTTTCTTCATTCTAAGTCAGCCCTCACCCTCTAAAACCCTAGAACTCGTCCTTAATCATTCATGGTGGCATTTTGAGATTATGAAGTCCATTTTTGGAGTGTTTGATCTATTTTCAAGAAGGTGGAGTTTGATGCAAAGATGGGGATCGAGGAAAAGCTTATGGATCTGGCTTTTGGGACTCATTGTCAGCTTGATGAAGGTATAAAGCTCTGAACTTGATCATTGATATCTTAGATCTCTCATTTGTGAGTTTTAGTTCATTTTGGTCCCAAGGATGAGATCTAGTGGTCTTGATTTCATTCCAGGAGCTTTGAGTTGCCCCTCTTAGTGTTTCTGAGGTTTAAGGTCCATAAAGTTGGTACCTTTAGAGTTTAAGACCATCTATGTTGGAGTTTGAGTCATTTCCATGAAAGTAGAATGCTATTTGGTCTTTTTAGGGTATGTAAAGTCACCAAGTCAGTGACTTTATGGTTCTAGGCGTTCATTTAGAAGTAGATCTGTGATTTGGACTTGTTGGATCGAGCATTAAGAGCTTAATGAGACTTTGGCTTAAAGGAGTAGTACACTGGGCGTACAAGCCAAACAGCTTGTACGCTTAGCGTACAGCTGAGTACGCCCTGCGTACTTAGTCAGATGGAGTTATGAGTATTGGGCTTCGGTGTGGGCCAGCTCTTGGGCTTGTTCGTCTTGGGCCCTGTTGGGCCATCTGGTTTTGGGCTGTTAGTGATGTTGAAAGGTCCCGGAAGGATTTGAGCCCAATTGGGCCACAAGTGGTTTTTAGCATTTTGGGCTTAAGTGTTTGGACTATTATTGGGACATCAGAATATAAGTGTGTCGGACTGAAAAGAAGGACTGGGCCTCATGGCAAGACCCATGTAGAGGTATGGGCCCAATTTGGAAAATTGGGCCATTAATGGATTTATGGACATTATAATGTTGGGCTTTTGTTTTGGGTTTGGGCCTTAGTTTTGGATCATACTGGGCCAGGGGTAGAATGATCATTTTACCCCATGTATGGATTAAGGATTATAGTATGGGACCTTATTACTAATTGGGTATATTGAGTGGTATTGATAGCTCGGGAAGCCGACGGGGCAGCAGCTAAGGATTTCATTCGGGGAGCTTCTGCATTCGAGGTGAGTCTCCTCACCATACCAATGGGTCGAAGGCACCAACGTCGGCCCATTATTTGCTATTTGGTATGCTAGTTGATTATGTGGTATGTGGTATGCTAGTTGTATTTGTGATATTTGCATGAAAGACCTCAGAGGGTTCCCGAGGCACTTGGGTGTAAGACCTTGGAGGGTTTCCATGGCATCCTAAGTAAAGACCTCGAGGGGTTCCCGAGGCACTAGGGTGTAATACCTTGGAGGGTTTCCATGGCACCCTTAGTTAATACCTCGGGGGGTTCCCGATGCATTGGGCTAAGACCATGTGGGGGTTCCCATGACACCCGGAGTAAGACCTTGGAGGGTTTCCAGGGCATCCTTATATGTTTGTATGTATGGTTTATATGGTAGTTGGGCTAAGACCATGTGGGGGTTCCCATGGCACCCAGATTAAGACCTTGGAGGGTTCCACGGCTTCCTTATATGTTTATATGCATGGCTTATGTGATTGATATGGTTTATGTGATTATGTGAGGTATGCTCCGGGGAACTCACTAAGCTTATCATGCTTACAGTTTTGTTTATGGTTTTAGGTATCATTGGTTTGGAAAGAAAAAGCCCGGCTTGATCGCAGCGCACACACCCGTGTTTTCCACAATGTGTGATTTTGGGAAGAACTCTGATAAATGTTTTTAATTAGCAATGTTGTTGGAATGTTTGGATTAAACGATATCTGTGTTTTAACTATAATAAAAACAAAATTTTTACCCTTGATTTTTGGGTCGTTACACCACCACACCCTACCATCCTTCCACCTCTCTCCTTTCCCTTCCACGTTCTCTTCACCGTCTTCTCCACCACCACCACCCAACCTATCATAACCCTTGCTGGAAAATTGATACTAGAAACCAAAATCGTAGAACCAGAACAAATGAAAACCAAAAGTTCTAAAATAAAAATGCAAACCAAAACCTGAAACATATGTATACCAGGAAGTTGTAGCATTTCAAACATTCAGTTGAGTTGTAGGTGGTTAAGTCTCTTCGTTGTCGTGCAACTAGTTAGATCCTACTATGGACATGTACAAGAGTTAGATATGTACTAGTTAGATTCTATATTGTTCTTTGTTTTGGTTAATCATGATAGCTAGGGGGCGTAATCTTGTGTCCCGACTAATAAAAAGTGTAATTTTGTTTTGATGAAAATTAAGAACAAAAGGTGTATCCAAGTTATGTTGTGGAAAGACGTTACATGCATGCATGAGGGAGGTTAACGGTGCGTGTCAAACGGTGTATGTGTGAGGGAATAAAAATGATGCTAATTTAGTTTGAAATAGGAACCAAACTTCCAACTATCAAAGGTGTGTGTCGAATTGGTAAACACAAACCTCCACAACCATAGTCAAAACGGTGTATGTGTTTCGATTATATTGACCTCACCCGTGTCTGTTGCCTCCCTTCCATCCTTCCCTCAAAACTCCTTTACCTCTGTTTCCTATTTTTTATTTAGGATTATGATGTTTTTGACTGTGATTCTGAAACATAATGTTTTTCTCTATCAAACATTCAATTAGCCACAAAAAAAAATGCAGTTCAAACAAAGAACACCATTGATAATAACATATACTTCTCTCATTAAAACAATACTTAGAAACATTGTAAACACAGATAGTTAGATATAAAGAAGAAATCATCAAACACAAATAGAACAAACGGGTCTAAATAGTTGTAGGAATAGGAACTCCTAAAAAAACCTAAGAGCAACTATACATTGCTCTGAATACATCAAAAACCTCAGTTTTTCTTTAACATCAACAAACTCCTAAATTTTCATAATCAATCCCAGAATCTTGGCTCCAACATGAAGTGAGCAGGAGACTGGGTTCGTGCCACATGGCCATATTTGGAAGTGCCATATTTCTTGAACACTGAAACAAGTTTCCCTGTGCCTGATTTTTGGTGTAAACTAACCATCATCTTCGAGCATTCCCTACATAAATAAACAAATCATTTTGTTAATTTACTTTCAAACAAAAAAGGAGAATCTTATGCTAATTTTATCTGTAATAGCAATGTACTTCTGCTATTTCCTGTAATAGGAGCAGAAGTTGAAAAAAAGGGGGGAAAAGGTCTTACAAAAGTTGATGTTGAGAATAGTGTGAATGGAGTTGAGTTGTTTTTGTCCATTTCTTTGAGCCATTGAGAGTGCATTCTGCAGTGAAGACTGCAGCTGCTGCCAGTAAAGAAGGTGGGAACTTCACCATTTCATACTCCACAAGACACAGATCCATCAAATAGAATGCTAATGGCTCCAACTACATTCAAAAACACCACATACATCAGAAAAAATATATATATAAAAAAACAAAAAACCAAAATCAAAGAAAAAGAACCTTTTTTTTCCCAAAATCATTAATTCTTTCACAAAAGCATAAAGAAACTTGAAAATTCAATAGTGTATGTATGGAAGATTAACATTTCATGAACACAAAAGAAGAACAACATGTTTTGTCCTACTATTTCACCAAAATGTTTAATTCTTGCACAAGATCAATAATCTAAAGAAAATTCAAGTCACGGATAGATAAGATAAAAAAACAAACCTCTTTCTGAGATTGTGCAGCTTTGAGAAATCTTTTAGTGAACACATATGGAGTGGGAACCGAAAGATTGAACTGAAGGGTATTCACCATTACCTTCTCCTACAAAATATCAAACAAAAACAATTATCATAAGTAAGGACTTTGTATTTTATAATCTATAACAGAAAGTAAATCACTAAATCTAATTACCATGTCAAGAACTTCTGTTCTAGTGTAAGCCTTGTCTGAAATTACAATAAAGTCCTCAACAACAGGGACAGAGATCTCTTCATACTTGCATGCAAGAAGCATGGCTGTCACCCCAACAAGCTGCAGTTTCTTCCTTGACACGGTTTGACGTTCCAGGAACCGGTCAATGAGGTTGACCGTTAGATATAAAGTCTCTTCCATCAGTTCAAATTTGTAATGAACCTGTTTTCATATTATTATTAGTATTTGCTATCATTTTATAATTGTTGTGAATAAAATTAAGTAAATAGTTGTGTAATAATGTGTTTTTACCTCAACTAGCCAATCGATGAGAATGCCTCTCATCCTGTCAGTTATGTCATGTTGTTGTGACATGTATGTTGGTGAAACACAAGTCAATACCTGCAATTTTATTCAAATATTTCATTCATTTTGGTCAATCAGAAATGGGAATTCAAATACAAATCTTTCATGAATACATAAAAACAAGAATCATAATGACAAAAAAAGATTAAATAAATATATACCTCTTGTTTTCGGTAGTGGGCGAAAATCTCATCAATGTACTCAACCACAGCAAGGGGATTACTCTTATCAGCATTGTCAATGTCCAAAACTGGCTCCTCGTATACATCTTCATCCTGAAATAAAGATCCATTACTTTTAAGCTATTTCATCTTAAAACAAGCAAAGAACAAGAAGATTAAAAAAAGGATGAGAAAACAAATTACCATCTTGTCTATTTCATCCAGCATAGCTTCCGTATGTTGAACAAACATTGGTGCATTGAAATCATCTTCAACATCAATGATGCTCAAGTCTTCAGTGTCAATCTCATCAGGGATAATTTGGACTTTTGGCTTTTTACCCTGTCATCAAAAGAAAGTTTATGTATACACGTATATAACATAAATCAAATCAAATAGGGCTCAAATTCGCTCAAAGTGTAGTCAAATACCTACAGTCTTTTAAACCCATATGTTCATATTTATGATGTAAATTATGTTTTTATCATCCTAATTGAGAATGATCTATTTTGACATGCACCCTATTGACATTTTTACCCAATCTTGTAGATGAATTGCATACCTCAGGTAAGGGCAATGATGGTTTGCCAGTGGGCAAGGGAAGTGATGGTTTAGTTGTCGTTTGTGCACTAATAGTCCTGCAGAAACAGTAAAATTGGGAATGATGAGTGTTTTCGTTCACAATGTATCCACAAATTCAAGAAAAAAAAAAGTCTGTTACAGACCTAGTAATGGGTCGACGAACTGGAACAGGTTTCTTAGTAGCGATGGGTTTTTTTCTAGAAAGAAAGAACAGAGAATATCATCAACATGTTTACTTGAGGAGAGAAAAGATCATTGTTCAGAAAGGCTAATAATGGATGAATAAGAAAGATACATGAGTTGATTTTATTACCCTGGTAATCCGTTAGCAGTATAAGGATATGCTGGTGGAGCTCTGATGATGTTCTTGTTGATATCACTCAATGCCCTCCTGTTTTGACCAAGTGGGGCGACTGGTTTCCCACATCCTGCCTTTAATCCCCCTCCTCCTCCTCCTGTAAAGCATCAAAGTTTTAGAGTTATAAGAATCTTTCGTTATTCAGACATTTTATCAAACAGGTCGTCTACATTTACTGAAGAAAGAACTACTACTTGTGGATCTTTGTTTCAATTACCTTGTGGTCTTGTAGGGCGGATTACATCTGGAAGATTTTCATTTGTACCAGCCATATTCACAATCTACATAGAATAAATAAGCCAAAAGAATCGAATTCAAAACCCTTTGAAAAAGTCATAATAGAAAGTTAGAAGATCATATTGTAAAATACTTATCGATCTACATGAGCAAGAATTAAATGTTTCCATCAATATCCATCGAATGATATCGAAATGAAACAAACCCTGGAAAAATTGGGTATTTGAAGTCTACAGATTTTTATGAAATCGTAAACTCACGAAAGTGAATATAATTACTCACGAAGAACATAACACAACGATCAAGAAACAAAATAAGGACAAAACCCAGACAATCAAGGACTCACCTACGATAAAGAACTTCAAATTCTTCAAAATTAGTCCAGCGACACAAAAAGAGAGAGATTAACAGAACAATTCCATGGATAAGCGATCGAAGGGGTCGATGAAATAATCTTGAAGTCTCTCTCTCTCTCTCTCACTCTCTCACTCTCTAAAGATCGATGGTATTTGATTTTTGATCCGTCGTGTGATGAATGAAATAGAAAAGGGTTTTCAAGTTCAATATTTGGGTTCGAAATCGAATCGTAAAGAGCGGATTTATGTCCGGCTCTGTTCCCATAATCTTCTTTTGAAAGTAACGGCTAGTAAATTAGAGCCGTTGGATCGTTCATTGTGCCTTGATCTGTGTGGTTATGTTTCATAAAAGACCCTGAAGTTACAAGAGTTTTACCCTTTTGGCATAAAACGTAAACAAAATGACCTTTCTATCGGCCAACAAACTTTTTGCTCTCATTGAATTTGAAAGGGAACACCACCACCACATGATTATTTTATTTTCAGTCTTTTTTAATTTATATATAGTTTTAGAAATATTTATTTACATCAATATATTCATAAAGGATGTGTTTAACCTACTCGCCTTATAAAATTGGTTACATTTTTCTATAATTGATAAAATGAAAAAATAGCCAAGAAATAAACTAAACTGTTAAATTCCTCTATTCAATTAAGATTATTTAGATATGTAAAGTATATAAGTATAGCCAGATTGGATAATTATTTTTAAATGTTATATTTTAATACAATTTGAACCATTTTTTTACTCATTTAACTTGTTTTTATAGCTAACTTTTTATATAAACTATTATGAATACATTTAAAGGGAAATCTTCAGAAAAGTCCTAAAATTTTAGTTTAATTTATGAAAAAGTCCCGAACTAATTTTTGTTTACAAAAAATCACAGAATACCGGCTAAAACTTCGAAAAAACCCTTTATGGCCGGTTTCGAAGATTTAGCCAGTATTCTGTTCTTTTTCGTTAGTTTACTCAAAATATTTGGACTTTTCTAAAAGTTACCCGATAACAAAAATATTGGGACTTTTTTGAAAATTATTATGGAATTAATGGATATTATTATTAACAAATCATTTATAAACATAATTTTTTTATTATAAACAAAGAAAATACATTTGTTGCTAATTTCTAGGAATAAAATGGTCGACTATATACTTCTCTATTGTTTGTTGACCACTTCAAAGTCTCTAGGTTCTTCCTATGTATCATTGTGGGTGTCATAGTGAGAAGTACTCTGTTAGACGTGACCAATACAATAGTTGTAATATTTATTAATACACAATCAATAAGTGTCTACTTGCTATTAGGCATGATGCTATATGATCACGTGTTATTAGAAAATATCATTATACGAACATATAGATCTTTCTTTATGTTCTTTAACCTAACTACCACCTAACCTCCAAACATTACCCGGTAACAATCATAAAATTACACACATCTATCGAGAGTGAAAAGTAAACTTTGAATGACAATTTAAATAGATAATCACCCTTCACTTGTTTCCATATAAATTATCATTCACGGTTCACTTTTCACATTTTATAGATGTGTGTTAGCCGATGGTTGTTAACATGTAAGGTCTGAATGTTGGTTGGTAGTTAGGTTAAACAACATAAGAGGAACACCGACATTAGAGGAATGTTAACTAAGTTCATATCATCATCATACCCACAACAATGCATAGAAAGAACGTAGAGAGTTTGAGTGGTCAGGAAGCAATAGACTACTTAGACTACCAATTTATTCCTAGAAATTAGCAACAAATGTATTTCCTTTTTTTTAATAAAAATATTTTTTATGTTTATAAATGATTTGTTAATAATAATATCCATTAATTTCATGGTAATTTTCAAAAAAGTCCCAATATTTTGGTTATTATGTAATTTTTGGAAAAGTCCCAAAATTTTAAGCAAACTAACGAAAAAGAACAAAATACCGGCAAAATCTGCGAAACCGATCGAAAAGGGTTTTTTCGAAGTTTTAAACGGTATTTTATGTTTTTTAGTAAATAAAATTTAGTTTGGGACTTCTTCATAAATTAGACTAAAATTTTAGGACTTTTCGGGAGATTTCCCACATTTAAATTACATAGTTATTGTCACACCCCAAAACCAAGAACGGCGGAAACGTTTTGGGGCGGAGGACGTCATGTACAGTATCACAACACAATATAATAGTAAACAAGTAAACAACATCATCCATTGCATTAAAATATATAATTTTAATACAAGTGTGTCCTGTAGTATATAAGACACCAAAATATGAATCAAAATATAAGATGAGTCTTGTATGCGCTCCATCTTCTCAAAAGTTGGCATCTATACCTGTCTACTGATGACCTGAGAATACAAGTTATTTTGAAAGCGAGTGTCAACATTAAAGCTGGAGAGTTCATAAGTATTTAGTGTCTATGTTTGTATCAAAATGTTTGAAACAGTGTTTGAAGTACGAATTTGTAAACGTTTGTAGTAAAAGTATGTGAATGTTTGTAAGTGTTTGTAAAAGTTTGTAACTCCTAGAAAATCCTATATTTTCTACTAAAAAAGTAGCCTTCTACCAAGGCACAACAGTTTTGTATGTTTGTTTCTTGTAAAAGTGTGTAATTTTCCCAAGTGTAACTATCATTATCAAAATATAGTTTGTACATTAATGTTTAAGTAAGTAATCACCAAATAAATGTAAAGGGTAAATTAATGTAGTACTGTAGTGTTGTATTATAGGAACTACTGCTGTACTAACTACCTTAAACCGGATTTATATCAAGGTATTATGTGATTAATTGTACCATACTATCGACTATGAAACACGACAATGTAAGTCGTCAAAAGGTATGACATTTGGCACCCGAAGACCTGCCGGTCCCACTGTAGCTAGCAGTAAGGTGTAGGATAGTCAATCCAGTATAGATCTATACGCAAATTCACGCTCTCCCTCCAAGAGATTCTGGTTACAACTCGGGCCATGACAATGAAGGCATGCTCCGATACAGTGGATCATATTTATGTTATAGTATACTTGTATATGTAATGTATGTACTTGTGTAATGAATGTATTGTTTCTCATCATAGTCTCGTTGTATAAGTTCTCATCAAAGTATAGTTGTATAAGTTCTCATAATAGTAAGTAGTGACTCATGAATGAACTGACTCTTGTATGCTTCATTGGACTAGAAGTAGTAAGTAGTATAACCCTAAACTATACCTATTATAATTTATTAGTAGACTTGTTTGTATGACTGAATGTATTGAACTGAGATAAAAGTCTTTATATCTATACATATATACATAATATATAACTAAGGATTCAACGACACTCGGACAAACAACCAGGTACTTTAAGTCCACAACCAAACAAGGACAGGAAGTAAAGTGGGTTATCAGTTCTAAGTCCTTCAAACCTTATTTATATAACTATATATGTAGTAGACATGGTTTTAACAATATATAGGTTTGAAAACTGTAAAAGAAAGGTTTAGTATACAAAAGTGAATTTGATAAAGAGTTGACATGTAAAATGGTTTGATAAGCTGTTTGAAGTCATTTGTTTGGTAAAACAGTTTAAAGTATAGAAAGTCCATTTGTATGCTAGTTATTAATCACATGTGATTGATCTAATAACTAACATGATTCAACTTGTATCCCCCCATAAAAGCATTTAAAAACATTTAATAACATTTCAAAGGTTAATTAAGGGGTATAAACTCATCTGTAGTGAGTGGTTTGTACGGAAGTGTTGGACAAGGTGCTAGGTGACAAGTGAAGACTTGTACACACACAATGATCCTAGTTAACATATAATAAAACATATACGTATCTAATTAGTCATTTAACAACTAATTAACCAAGTTAAGACACCCTAGGACATGGAAACACTTTGATTCAAGTGTTATAGGTACTAAAGGGTTGCATCTAAGGGTTGTATGGCATGGCATTGGAGTTTATGGCCCAAGGACCACTCCTTATGGAGTTTACGGCCCATGGTCATTTCCCCATGAGTTTATGGCAGTAAACTCATGGTACTAAGTGTCATTTGGTGTTTTGAGGTCTTATAAGTCAAGATTGAGCATCTAATGATCAAGTCCAAGTCTTAGGAAAGCATTAGGGGCACAATAACACTACCTTGTAGAGTTCACGGCCTAAGGAGCATATCCTTATGTGTTTACGGCCGTAAACTCTTATGGGGACTTGTTTTGATTGTTGTTTAAGGTCATAAACACTTCTAGGAAGGATCAAGACTAGTATCCTATGCTTAGGAAGGGACTAGGGTCCATTTAACCCCTTTAGAAGGGTTTACGGCCCAAGAACATCCCTTGGCCGTAAACTCCTTTGATCCTATGATTCTTGGTGATTTTCAAGTGTAAACAAGTTCATATTAAGCACACAAGAAGCTAGGGTAAGTGTACTTACAAGATAGAAGCTTGTTTGGGTGTTTAAGGTCCAAGAACACTAGTGTGTGTTCTTGGTGTTTTGAAGAACACTTGAAGATCAACTTGAAAAGCAATAATGAATGGATGAAATGATGTATAACAACTAGATGTTAGGTTATAACAACAAATCAAGTCGAGAAATACTTACGTTTTCGGAAGATCGGGTGAAGAATGGGATGCTAGTTGAGAGAGAATGGGGAGTGTTATTGAGGGTGGAAGTGAGAAATGAAGAGTTTGGGGAGTAAACTCATGCCTAAGGCATGAGTTCACGGCCACATGGGAGTTTACGGCCCAAACTCTAAAAGTTTGGCTGTGAACTCCTTATTAGGGTGGTATGTGTGGGTTTGCTACTCCAAGACCCGAGACGGTACTTCCTTTCATTCGTTCGTTTGAAGAATAAATACTAAAAACACTCAAACGGACTTTAAATTGGCTAACAATTATGAGAAATGTAATTGACTTTTAATTGAGTTACTTGACTTTAGAGTTTGTACAAATGAAAATTTCGGGTTGTCACATCATTCCCCCGTTAAAGGGAATTTCGTCCCGAAATTAGAGTTTAAGCAAATTAAGTAGTTACAAATAACTAAGCGAATAGATGAGGATATTTCAATTTCATTTGATCCTCGCGCTCCCATGTGAATTCCGGTCCTCGCTTGGCGTTCCGGCGAACCTTCACTATTGGGATGCGGCTTTGCTTCGTCTGCTTGACCTCACGGTCCATGATCTCTATAGGTTCTTCCACGAAGTTGAGGCTCTTGTTGATCTCGATCTCGTCGAGTGGGATTACAAGAGT